CATAGAACTTTATTACCTGTCTAGATCTCATTTTGATCCTTATGAAAGAAGCGAGTATTTAATTGTCCGAAAGGGTGCTGATATATTTGTCATGCTAGTATGCGCACCTCCTCTTCTTTTTACGATGTCATTTTCATTAATTAAGATTCCCATTAAAGATCTACCTTGTTTGAGATCGAGCGAGGGAACTTTGTTATACATCTGCGTGCGTTCACGAAGTTTAATTCGCATAAAAATATAATATTTCATTTTTTAAATTATATGTATGCTTAAAAAATCATTTACTCAATACTCTTACGGTATTTCCGCTTTGGAATTTGACGAGAAATCTAAACGTCACATAATATTCACGAGTAATACGGTATATATATCCGTCATTCTCGGTAATATATATTACCGTTTCCCGTTTCGCTCGAATATCATTCGCGGTAACAGTGTTTTCTCTTTTTTCTTTCCATTTGGCAGTATCGGCATGCTCGAGTGATCGCGAAACAAGGAGCCTTCACTACCTCCCCCCCCCTCCGCTTCTCCTTCTATCGAGAAATCCTATGCTGTTAACTCGCAGGCTGTCCTGTAATCAATGCAGCATCGCCGTCGTTATGACCACCTACGATACCGATATTCTCTTTCTCATCGGATTTTACGACCGTTGTTCCTCGCGGCAGCGCCTTCGCATATTTCCGGGAGTCCCTGCTTTTCCCGCGGGACGCCGACACCGTCAGTCTTTCTTTGATGATCTCTCGGCATTGGATTTCGAAGAATCGAAACGCCACAGCACTTCGGGAAAAGGCAATGGAGAAAAGTTCAATGGAAACGTTACTCGACGTGAAAACGCATAATCCCCTTGATTTCCTAAGAGATTCTGAATGTTTCTCAAAGATGTCAAGATTTGCATTTTCTTTCAATGGTAAGAACGTTTTGTATAGCCAGAGTCTAGAATACATATTTCCGATTTAATTAGTTTACCATTAGTTTCCAAAACATTTCGTAACAAATTTATACAGACAGATTCCCATTCAACGAAAATTCGTTGAGTTATTTATGAATTTTTATTATAATAAAATAAACACTTTCTATTCAGCCGGAAATTATTATTCTATTTTTTATCACCATATGCTTCATATACACTTTGATTATTATTCAAAGATTACATTGAATTACTAATATTATATTTTAATTTGCGCTTACCATTTCCCCATTTCATGATTTTCTAATAATATATTAATATATTAATTACAAAATTAAAGAAAAAAAAAAGAAAAAATAAATAAAAATGTCTTGGCTCATTCTCCGGAGGATTGAATTTCAGGCGACGAAATATGAGAGCACCAAGGAGAATCATGAACCTGTTCGGCTTATAAACGATCGTCCCCCTCATGACGAACGATCGGGCACCCTTTAATATACCAACCCGCCTGCACCACCTCATCCCTCGTAACTTCACGATGGCGACCACTTTCAAACTTGGTCTCCATTTGGTGTTACAGCTTTATAAATGGGGGCGCGGATTAATTAGCACGACGAATCTACCGGGTCGGGTCGCTTAACGGTCGAACTCTAAATCTTAGGGGAAGAATTTAAATTGCGAGAATTACGATTTTCTTCATGTCGAAGAATTTTGATTAATTATTTTAAGCGCTAATGTTATTCAAATCAGAAAACTACTTTTCAATATAAATCTTATGAATTCAAATGAATTAAAAAGTAAACGATCTAGATCTTCAACTTCTTATCTCTTTCTTGTCTATTTTTCGGATTCATTTATTTTTCATAATGCTGTACATACAGCCACGACGAGCGCACATAAACATGCATAGTTACTTACGACTTCGACCATTCGTCCAATATGCACGTTAATTAGGACTCGCGACGGTAAATTAAATTGTGTCCTTACTTTGCGCGCAGTATCGGAAACTGTAAACGAGCCGCCGAAATTCAGGATTCGTGACAGCCTTTTGCGCGCATTTAATTAAGTCACGTTTGAGAGCGTAAAGTACATCGAGCGTGATTCGCAGATCAACGTCAAAGATCGCGCCGAAAGGGAGAGAGGATTACGTCTAATTCGGTTCCAAGTGAGTGCATATAATCCGCTTGGCGCGCATAATTGAGCTTAGAGATTAGGCGCTCGTGGATTATGAATAGATCATCGGCAATTGCATTGCGATAATTAGCACTTTAGCGGGAGAAACGCGCGCCGAGGAACGAGCCGATAATTCGCCAACTCGCCGCGGTGATATTGAACGGGCGAGCGATAGATTTGCGAAGACGGGATGATATGAATTTAACAACGGGCTATTAGCTGACAAACGTTAACGATGATTCGCGGGAATTATTATACCAGATTATTATATACATCTCGTATACACGTAATTTATCTTCATCTCCCTTATTTTTGGCAAGAGACACGAGAAAACAATAACTGAATTAATTTATTTCATGAAAAAATTAATCATTTACGCGTAGATTAAATATCCGTCTAAAAGATATGAATTTAAAAAAAAAAAAAAAAAGTATTGCTACGCCCCAATATTTCGAATTATTCCGAGCGAATTGTTCAAGTGGTGCTTAGAAACAGCATTATCTTGTCAGCGCGGGAGAGGATAAGCCCATCGCTTCTTTCGCTTCGACCTAGACTACTTCCCGGTAGTCGCAGTAATGATTCAACTCCGGTTTAATTAGGAATAGGACGGACGTCCGGGTATACAGTCTGAACGACACCCTCGCGACGCCGCTTCCCTTTCCTCCTCGTCGTCGTCGTCGTCGTCGTCGACACGGCACTTCGATCGTTTGTCGAGCGCTCGTTAATTAATCGCCCGTCGCGTTCGAGAACAAACGAAGCGAGAGCAGCGGGCACGAGCGGAAGGATATAAACGAGGCTACTAAGTTATTCTATTGGAGTCACCGCTCTTTCTCGATCCTCCTCTCTGTTCTTTTAACGGCACACGGGATGCTCGCGATCCGCGCTGTCGCGCGGTTGAAACCGCTGTCGCTATGTTGACGCGCTGACGCGCGGCTTTAAGCGATCTTACGGCAATTTATCATGTTAAGCGTTCCACTTGCACCGCGTTACTTTCTAATGGCAATTTCATTAATTATAATTCAAAATTGATTTTCTCCCTTTTTTTCGTACGTAAAAAAAAAAAAGTACCGAGACAGAGACATAATTTCCGCGCAATTTGAAATTTAATTCAAGACTAAAATATGGAGAAAATAAATTTGATATCGAGCATATATAAAAGATTTCTGTCAAATTAAAAAGGAAATTAAATAACGCGAAACCATTCCGCAATTAAATTTGGACGCAGCTCGTTTTAATAAAATTTTAATTTGACCAAAGTCGATATTTTTTATGTACGTATGTATTGAATTATGTAATATTGAAAAATAAAAAGGCAGGTCGGGAGCACGAGTTATTTGAACCTGACAATTTGAAAAAAGTCAATCGCAAATTATTTTCATTAAGCGCGGAAGAGAAATATCGCGGGAAACCAGTGTTTCGTTTTATTAATTCGCAAATTATAGTTAATTAATGTCAAAAATCAATTTGACAGCGATATTAATTATACATTGTGTTAACACAAAGAAGCTATTATCGTATATATATATATCTCTCCGTTCCGCACTGAATTTAAACGCCGTAGATATATGCTTTCGACAGTGCACGCTTTGCGCTCGGAAAATCGGAAAACTATTTTCATGACGCAAATGCGCATCTCAACGCAATCGCTTTCTCTCAGTTTTGTGTCGGCGTAATCTCTTCGAGGATGTTACAGGATAAAAGGGGATGAAAGACAGCGCTGAGCGTTTTTTTACCGCACTCAACTATTCCCAGTATCGTCGTCGAGCGGCGTGAATATTGCTCCGGCGATTCGTTGCGTTGTATAAAGAACGGGAAAATGGCCCGCGCGCTTTTGCATTGTCGCCATACCTGTCGTGGCCATCCGCGCGGAGATGAGCTTCGCGAAATGAAGAACCGCGGGCTAATTCGCATTCCCGCGATAACGCATTTTCCCCGAGACCAACGCTGTCACTAACAGCCCGAACGACGATGTAACCCACACGATGAGTTTTTCCAACAAAAGCAATATTGTCCCTTCCATGAAAGAATTCTTGGAAAACAAGTCAATATCTGAAAAGACAAGGGACTTGAATATATATTCGCCCGATAAAATGACTGCAATTCAATTTAACGCATTATTTAATAAATTAAAGGTTTTTCTACAAGACTTCACACAGAATTCACGAATCCGTAGAACAATTGAATTATTCGGCAAATTAATTTAATTCTTATGTAAATGATTAATTCAATTCAATTTCTGACGTAAATGATTTCGTCAATTAATTATGTTGGAAGTCATTTAATACTAACTCGTACTGCTCGAACAATGCGTTGTTTAGCAATTTTAGCTTTGGAAAAATTTTTATCTTCTTTATTTTTGTCTTAAAAATGATTTTTAAAG